GGCGCGCGAGGGGGCGGGACGGCGCGCGAGGGGGCGGGACGGCGCGCGAGGGGGCAGGGGCGCGCACCACGTGTGAGCAGAGCTGGGATGCCCAGCAGCGCAGAGCAAGGCAACCCAGAGGACAGCTCTGCTCAGCCAAGAAACCGAAACAACTCCAATGTCAAGAATGAATATGGAACAAAAATACTGTCCCGAACAATTCAATGCCTCCCTGAGACACCGGCTTTATTTCTCGTCCCAAGGGCTTGCAGAGGACTTTCCCTGCACCTCGTGAGCAGGCATGCTGGCATCCTGACTTTTCAAAATAAAAGGAAATTCCTGTCATCTTATTTTCTGATCATTTGAAATATCTCTCAAAGCATAAATAGTAAACATTTGCTTTTAAAAAAATAAACATACAATGTGATATTAGTTAATTTCAAATCTCACAAACACCATAGCACCACTGGGACAAGAGCAACTTCAAGGTTAAATCTTAGCCCCAAAGTGCATTCAGAACACCAGGCTCCAATTACTGTACAAGGCCTGATCAGAAAATGGATGACTTGCCCGCACCCTTCCCACCACAAAAACCACTCGTCCAGCAGACTTAACCCAGCAAAAACTCAATCCTGGCCTGGGGAGGTGAGGAGTGTGGAGGTGAGGAGTCAGAATGTGAGGAGTGAGGAAGTGAGAACTGAGGAAGGGAGGAGGTGAGGTTGTGAGGAGGTGAATGAAGACTGTAGAGGTGAGGAGTGAGGAGATGAGGAGTGAGGAGGTGAGGAGGTGAGGAGTGAGGAGGTGAGGAGTGAGGATTGAGGAGGTGAGGAGTGGGGAGGTGAGGAGTGAGGAGTGAGGAGGTGAGGAGTGAGGAGTGAGGAGTGAGGAGGTGAGGAGTGAGGAGTGAGGAGGTGAGGAGTGAGGAGGTGAGGAGGTGAGGAGTCAGGAGGTGAGGAGGTAAGGTGTGAGGAGGTAAGAAGTGAGGAGGTGAGGAAGTGAGGAGAACCTCCTCACCTTCTTCTTTGAGGAGAAGCGTAATGTTGTGTGGGAAGACAGCTGGTGCCTTCCGTCTGGGGCACTCCCGAGACACAGCAAGTTCCCCCAGAGCTGCCCTGAGCCCCAGGCCTGGGGTGGGGCAGGGACTCCCCATGCAGCCCTGTCCTCACCTCTCCACTGTCTCGCAGAAGAGCACGATGACCTCTTGCTGCACATAGTACTCTCTGGGAGACTTCACGGGCACCATGGCCGAGACGTAGCTGCAACACAGGAAGACCTGTCAGGCCGCACATGGGCGGCACAGGCCTCTCCAAAGCTGAGGGCTGGCATCTTCAATTAAAGCTGCAATACTGGGCAAGGCGGCGGGGGCTGGGGGCTCACGCCTGTAATCACAGCACTTTGGGAGGCTGAGGTGGGAGATTTCTTGAGTCTAGGAGTTAGAGGCTGCAGTGAATGGTGACTGCACTACTGTACTCCAGGTTGGGTGACAAAGCAAGACCCTGTCTCTTAAAAATGTGCACACACACACACACACACACACACCTGACCTGAGCACCCCATGTCAGCAGTTTGATGGTACACAGCTCCTGCCAGCCAGGCCTAGTCCAGGGCTTCCCCTGAAACCCCAGCCCTGCCCATGGGGGACGATTGTGCCAGCTCCCAGGGCTCACCCTGGAGCCTGTACACCCTGGAGCCAGTGCTGCCCGTGTGCGTGACCGTCCCTCACCTTTGCACCAGCCTTAATGGGCAAGAGAGTAAATGAATGAACCCATGTACGGTGGGTGAAGAACTTGAGCCCCACATGGGCAGGGTCCTGCCGCGTGCACCTCCGAGGCCACGGAAGCCAGCCCAGGCTGGGTACAGGGTCTCACAGCAGGCCTGTAAGTGGCTGAGAGGTGACAGCTTGTCCAGCCCTTCCTCAGATGACAGCACTTTCCTTCCTCCTAAATCACTAACTCTAGGCTGGGTGTGGCGGCTCATGCCTGTCATCCCAGCACTTTGGGAGGCCAAGGTTGGTGGATCACCTGAGGTCAGGAGTTTCTGTCTCTACTAAAAACACAGAAAAATTAACCGGGTGAGGTGGCAGGCACCTGTAATCCCAGCTACTTGGGAGGCTGAGGCAGGAGAATCGCTTGAAACAGAAGAGGAAGGTCGCAGTGGATTGAGATCGCGCCACTGCACTCCAGCCTGGGTGACAGAGCGAGATTCCATCTCAGAAAATAAACAAAAATAAATAAGTCACGAACTCTAATTTTTTTCTTATGAAAGCTGATTTACAAAATCTTGGGAAGACCAGAAAACAAAACTCGATTGTCCGTGCTCTGGCTTCCGGGAGAGGGCTGCCCTTACTGCGCTGGTTATCTCCTTCTAGAGGCCGGTAGATTACCGCAGGAACAATCTTTATTAACTGGAACCTCCGCCGACACCGTCTGCCTCCGTTTTTTCTCACCTCCTGGGCCATCTCCGTATCTTCAGAGGCATCATTCATGCCCAGCCCCTTGGACCTCTCCAAAGCTCTTTCCCCCGGAGGCACAAGGCGGCCAGATCCCAGCGGACCCCACCTGTGTACCCTCTGCTCACCCCACTCCCTGGAAAGATGCCCCCTCGCCCCCACCCTGCGCCCTCCAGGGTGTTACCCCACCCACAGTTGACCCTGAACCCGCCTGGCTCCTCCCTCTGTGGAATTTTCTGGCTTGAAATATCAGGGTGAGCCTGGGAGGCTGGCACTGCCGTCCCCAACTCATCAGGCCAGGCCCAGGACCCCGCGCCGCAGTACCTCAGCTCGAACTCGGCGAACAGGACGTCGAAGTGCCTCAGCGCTTCCCGCATCTTCTCCGTGTAGGTGTTCAGGTCCCGCAGCGCCTGGTCGCGGAGCGCGCCCCGCACGTCCTCCAGGCTGCGCGTCAGCTCCTTGGCCAGCGGGCGCATGGCCATGCTCTCCAGCTCCCGGTTCATGATGATGGAGCCGGCGGCCAGGCACTGCGGGAGGGGACGCGCTCAGGGGCGGGTGTCTCGGGATGGCCGCCTGGGGAGCCCCACTGCACATCTCGCCCGGGGAACCCCACTGCGCACCCCATGCCCCTCTTCTCACTCCCAAGCGCGGGCCAGCTCGTGTTCCTGGTCCCGCGGGAGGTTTTTCTCACATTCAGAGCAATTGTGAGGGCGATAACCAATGTCCCCCACTGTGACCAGCAGGGTCCTCAGAGGGCCCCAGGGGCAGGGAGGGGAGGGGAGGGTGGACTGAGGCCCTTGGGTGTGGGGGCTCCATGCAGGGGGAACCGTGGTCACGTGACCCTTTCCCCCTCCCCATCCAGGTCCGGACCACAGGGAGGAAGGTCGTGGAGCCCGGAGTTCTTCAGGTCTGCGCTCGCAGGGATGAAGCAGCCGGGCTGATCCGCCCCAAGGCCCCCAGTCTACCTAGGGAGCCACAGACACTGCCTGTCAACTTGCTCACGGCCAGAGAAACACAACCTTGCCCCAAACGGAGATCCCAGCCCTGCCCATGGGGGAGTCCGCGGGCTTCTGGGCAGGGAAGGAAGGCTCCTCCGCACCCACAAATCCGCCCACATCTGTCCTGGGCACTGTCAGGCAGCTTCTCGGCGCACGCTCAGCAACTCAGAATTTCACCAAGCTGCTCTCCCGCGCAGGGGCTGAGTCCAGACTGGGGTGACTCTGTTGTCACAGGCAGGCTGGTGTAGGGGCTGGGGACTCACCAAGTTTAAGGTAGAACCAACCCGCCTCCCGTTCCCTCAGTATGATCAAGTGACACAAGACAAGAAGCCATTTCCCAGGGGACAGAAGGAGACAGTGGCTGATTTCCCAGGCTTCGGCGGGCACAGAGCTTGGGGGTACCAGGACCACACAGGGAGCTGTGTTCTCCCCCGTGCAGTCATGCCCCTGCCAGGCCAGCTGGGCACAGCACCCACTCCATCTCATGACTGCCCCAGGATCCACTCCACGGAGGTGGAAAGTGAGGCTGGAGAGGAAGGAGAACCTGCCCACAGGCCCCCGTAACTAACCCAAGCCTCAGCAGAGGACACCCCAACCAGATTGGCTCAGAGGGTGGGGTGGGCAGAGTGGCCACAGGGAAGGGACAGTGGGGGATGAGGACCCCGCACTCCAGGGATTCCTAGAGAAGGGAGGTGAGGAGGACGGGGACAGCACAACAGAGGGCGGCGACCTTGGGGCCGAGGTCAGGCTCCGGAACATGGCAAGGGGAGGAGCCTGGGGATTCCACACGATGGGGGCCTGGGGAAGACTGTTCCCACCACCTCTAAGGGCACCTTCCTCTCGGGGCCTCAGTTTCCTCATTAGGAAATGAAGATGAAGCTCTGACAGGCTATTGCCAGATGTGGCTGCTGGGGCTGCAGCACAGATCCCCAGCCCCTGCTGTGACCTGGGCTGCAGGGTGAGAGGGGAGCATTTGTTCCTGATGTGGGCATTTCCGCTATGAAGGACCACTTTTGGCCAGGCACAGTGGCTCACGCCTGTAATCCCAGCACTGTGGGCGGCCGAGGTGGGTGGATCACGAGGTCAGGAGTTCGAGGCCAGCCTAGCCAATATGGTGAAACCCTGTCTCTACTAAAAGTACAAAAATTAGCTAAGTGTGGTGGTGTGCGCCTATAGTCTCAGCTACTGGGAAGGCTGAGGCAGGAGAATGGCTTGAACTCAGGAGGCAGAGGTTGTAGTGAGCAGAATTCATGCCACTGCAGTCCAGCCTGGGCAACAGAACAGGACTCTGTCTCAAAAAAAAAAAAAAAAAAAAAAAATCACCAGTTTTAGGTCCTATATGTCTGGGGGCCTGAGAGCCTCATAACAATCACGTGGTAAATTTCATTTGCATGTACAGTTTTGGGGGCACCAGTTCATGGCTTTCCCAGATCCTCCAACGGGCTCACGGCCTACCAGGCTCAGACCACGCCCTGTAAACCAGAGTGGACGGAGCTCTTGGAGGAGACACCAGGTCCCTGCACCTGCGAATGCCCATGCACAGGTCTCACAGGGAAATGGCTAGACCTGCTCACATCAGGACCTCCGACCCCAGGAAGTGGCTTGCTACCTCAGCTCCGAACCACAGCTGGCCAGCCAGGTTGTCGTGCCGGATCTCCTCAGGGAACTTGACGCAGAAATCCCTCGGGGCGCGGTCCTGGGGGATGCACTCATCCATGATCTGGTTAATGATGTTCAGTACGTTGTCCTGAAACAGACAGGAGAAAGTGTGCCAATGCTGTGTCCAGCCAGCAGCTGCCATGCACTGCCGGAAAACATGCACCACCGGAAAACACGCACCACCAGAAAACACACACCACAGGAAAACACGCACTGCTGGAAAACACGCACCGCAGGAAAACACACACTGACGGAAAACATGCACCACAGGAAAACACTCACTGCTGGAAAACAGACACCACAGGAAAACACACACTGACGGAAAACATGCACCGCAGGAAAACACACACTGCCGGAAAACACACACCACAGGAAAACACCCACCGCAGGAAAACACGCACTGCTGGAAAACATCCACCACGGGAAAACACACACTGCCAGAAAACGCACCACCAGAAAACATGCACCATGGGAAAACACACACTGATGGAAAACATGCACCGCAGGAAAACATCCACTGCTGGAAAACACACACTGCCGGAAAACACGCACCGCTGGAAAACATGCACCATGGGAAAACACACACTGATGGAAAACACGCACCGCAGGAAAACACGTACTGCCGGAAAATATACACCACCAGATGTTCACACACTGCCTGAAAACACGCACTGCCCAAAAACACACAACGCCGGAAAGCATGCGCCATGGGAAAACATGCACTGCCAGAAAACACGCACCGACAGAAAACACACACTGCCGGAAAACACGCACCATTGGAAAACATGCACTGCCAGAAAACATGCACCATGGGAAAACACATACCATGGGAAAACATGCACTGCTGGAAAACACACACCGCCCGAAAACACGCACTGCCCAAAAACACGCACCGTGGGAAGACACACAATGCCAGAAAACATGCACCACGGGAAAACATGCACTGCCAGAAAACACACACCACCGGAAAGCAAGCACCACGGGAAGACATGCACCACCGAAAGATACACACTGCCAGAAAACATGCACCATCAGAAAACATGCACTGCCCGAAAACATGCACTGCTGAAAAATACGCACCATGGGAAAACACAGGCCACAGGAAAACAGGCACCGCGGGAAAACACGCACTGCCCAAAAACACGTACTGCCGCAAAACACACACTGCTAGAAAACCTGCACAGTGCATGTTACTGTTTTTTAGGATTATTAAAGTGATAGGGGAGGCTGGGCACGTGGCTCATGCCTGTAATCCCAGCACCTTGGGAGACCAAGGCAAGGGGATCACCTGAGGTCAGGAGTTTGAGACCAGCCTGACCAACATGGCGAAACCCCAACTCTACTAAAAATACAAAACTTAGCCAGGCGTGGTGGTGCATGCCTGTAATCCCAGCTACTCAGGAGGCTGAGGCAGGAGAATTGTTTGAACCCCCAGGAGGTGGAGGTTTCAGTGAGCCGAGATGGAGCCATTGCACTCTAGCCTGGGCAACAAGAGCAAGACTCCATCTCAAAAAGAAAGTGATAGAGGAACACATCCATGCTTGCTAAACAATTGCTACAAAAAGTCCAAGCATTCCAGAAGCATGTAGAGTAAAGACTGGAGTTCTTGCAACTGCCCACACCTAACTGATCCCTAGAGTACAGCGCTGGGTGATGTCTGGGGAGCTTTCCATGCTGCTGTGTGGATTCCACCCGCCCTTTCCATGGCTGCCCCGGCATCCTCATGGGTGGACAGCCTCCTCCTCTGCTGACCGACACCCAGGCTCCCTGCAGCCATGAAACAATGGCTGCCCAGAGCATCTCTTTCTCTGGACACCTGCACACGTTTTTCTCAAGACGGATCTCCAGAAATGGAACTGCTAGGCTGACAGACACATAAAAATGTGAAGTTCACTGCCAACTTGTGTGTTGCTTTTATTTATTGGGATTACAAGCCTGTGCCCTCTGAGGTCTCCACAACAGTCAGGCAGCAGAGTGATGTCAGAGAGACACTAAATGACACCCTCCACAGAACACATTCCACATTCCTGCAACAGGCCGGCGTCCCCTGTGTGAGTAAAAGGGGCCTCAGCACCAGCAACCACAGGAGCCATGGGCTCAGACGGACTCTGAGCTGCTGGTGAGCTGTGAAGCCCTCATCTTCCTGGAAGCTCAGTGCACTCCTTTGCAGAGTCAGGGGCACAGACCATGTCTTAGGGTCAGAAGAGTACAATTATGACCAGGCCAGGCAGAGCTAGGTAGCGTCCCCTCCCACCTCCTCTGGAAACAGCAGTAAGTCAGTCCACACCAGAGGGGGTGCTGCTTTCACAACGTGGAGACCCTGACTCCACCCCGCATGGCTGTTCAACCAGGGACAGGTCACTTCACCTCTCTGATCAGCCAGGTCCCCTTCTGTAAGCTTCATTGCACAGCAACTTCTGGCTTTTTGTTTATTTTTAGAGACAGGGTCTGGCTTTGTCCCTCAGGCTGGAGTGACATGGCGCAGTCATAGCTAATGACAGCCTCAAACTCTGGGCTCCAGCCATCCTCCAGCCTCAGCCTCTCGAGCGGCTAGGATTACAGGAGTGAGCCAGTATTCCTGGAAGCAGCTTCTATTTTAAAGACTCTTTAAAATTATTTTACTTTATTTCCTTATGTTCAAAATATAAAGTATAACAGACTGTTTTGAACACTTTGTATATATGAGGGAAACAAGCCCATTTTTTAAAATCTTAAATTGCGTTCCATCCTTTGCGGTAAACTTGTCCTATTCTTTAAATACTGACTATTCATTCTGTGGATTACAGAGACACTGGAAGCTTAACTTTTGCCTTTAACTTGTTAAATATGAAATCGGTACACATTCATCCAAGGAAAGCTGGAGACGACGGGAAGGTAGAGAAGCAGGGAAAACGTCCTTGGGGAAGCACCACTGCAGGTGGGGCACATTTCCTTCTAATTCTTATCTTCCAAGGGCTGTTTGCAACCAAAACTGAGATGATCTGTGTACATACTGTTGGATTCTGCTGCTGCTGCTGCTGCAACACGTTACTACATCTGTCACAAATCCAACTTCTGATGGATGGCAACACGAAATTCCAGCATATGGCCCATCCTGTTAACTCACTCCTTTCTCTACTGCTGGGCACTGACGCTGTGTCTAATTCTCCCCCTCCGCGTAATCTGTACTCACCACTGTGGGGCATGATGCTCCAATTGCGGATTACCTCCTTAGGACCCACTGGTTGCTAGAAATGGAATTTCAACATCAAAAGTGCAAAGTGGATTTCCAGGCTCCGAGATGCTGACAAATGGCTTTCCAGAAAGCGTACACCAGTGGACACTCTCACCCTTTGCAATTTTTAATCTCGACCATCCCTCCTTTCTGCCCTCCAAGGCTTGACTTATTTTTCTTAGGAAGAAGACATGAAAACTCACTATGAGTGGGGAAGCATGACCCTTCTCATGCAAGAAATCAGTGCACTAAAGCTCTGAAGGAAATTCTGCAGTGTAAGAAAAATGTTAAGTCTTTTTCATATGAAAAATAAAATTCAACCAACAGGTGGTACTACTGTCGCTTCTTTTTAAAAGATTTTCTGGGTAGGAAGGTCCTTGCTCATAATTCAACAAATAAATGGGCAGACAACGGCAGTCATAGCAACAGACAGTGCGCGGTACACACCGCTGTGCTGAAGTCAGCCAGGTGCCACGGCTTGTCTAAGGCTGAGGAGCCTCCAGTGGCCGTGCTTGGATTCACTGCCCACCCTGCCTGGTGCCAGAACGTCAGCTGCCAGAGGGAAAGGCCTTCTGTTCTTCACTGATGAGTCTCCAGTGCCTGGAGCGGTCCCTCACACACAGCATGCTGCCACAAACCCTTGCTAGGGCTTCTAACTCCAGCCAAGATGGAATAATAGGAACCCAGTGTACCCTATTCTCAGCAACAACGGTGATTCCCAGGACACTGGGCATCAGGCCACAAAGGACAGTGGTCGCCAAGAGGCAGGAAATAAACAAGGTGAGCCCCACCACTACCCCAGCTCACTGCCTTGAGGAAAGTTTCGCGTCATGGAACAGGGAACAGGAACTCGGGTGGAACCGAGGTAGTTGGGACTCAGGGGGCAGGAGGCAGAGAAGAGAGAGCTGCACAGAGAGAACTCTGGAGATCTGGGGAGGGTCGCAAGGGTGCAGCGGAGCTTTCTCCCTAAAGCTGCAATTAGGGAGAAATGTAAACCACTAAATGTCTGAATTAGCAGCGGAGAGCTGATCAACACATGCCTGTGGGGAGATGAGGTAAGGCCAGGAAAAGACACACCTGAAGGATTCCAGGAAGCAGTGGCAAGAGCCCTCCAGGAGGCTGGAGTAGCAGGAGTGCTCACAACCCACAAAGCATTGAGTACAGTACCCAAAGCGTCTTGCCTCCTCCATGTGAACAGCAGTTAACTCTAGACTAAACACAGCTCTGGTCCTGCCTAACACCTTAAAAAACAAGGCCCAAAGAAGTACACCATTTTGAAGTAAACTGCATCACAGAACCACCAAAGATATTTACAGTAATACAGAAATAGCCCCCAGCAGGGTGAAATTTACCATGTCAGGTACCCAACAAAAAAATTACCAAGCTTGCAAAGAATGAAGAAAACATGACCCATGACTAAAAGGAAAAGCAATCAAAGTCAACCCAGACTTGATAAAGATGATCAGGGACATTAACATCGTTGTTATAACTGATTACCACGTGTTCAAAAAGTTAACTAGATAAAACAAAGAAGCTAAAAAAAAGTCCTGAACTGATTTAGAGATGAAAATGACAGTGTCTGAGATGAAAAAATGTACTGCATGAGATTAACATCAGATTAGATATTTCAGAAGAAAACAATAGGAAACGTAAAGACAGCAATTGAAACTATCCCAATGAATCAGAAATAATAATAGATCATCAATGAGCTGTTAGACAACTTCAAACGTCAAATGTGAATGTAATTCAAGTCCCAAAATGAGGAGGAATGAGATAAAAAAAATATTTGAAGGAATAGTAGCCAAAACTTTTCCAAATTTAATAAATATAAACTCACAGAATCAAGTTAATAAACCCAAGCACAAGACCCATTT